TGTCACTGAAACAGATTATGACGCCTTCTCTGGCCGCAAGACAAAGAACCCTAGTGAGAGTATGTAAAGAATGCTTGGAAAATTTCCTACCATTTCTCTGCGGTACTTACAGTAGAAGACCCGTGCGTCCCTCCATGGACACAGAATGGTGGATTATGCTCCAAGATGTTGCACATAAGACTACAAAGTACTCTGGGTGTGTTTGAGATTAAGTGGTAATTAATTAATGACGCAATCAAAACGATGCTCCATACTGAATGAATCTTATAGTTACAAGTGAAGGTGAAATCTTCATACGAGCCAAGCGGCCCATCATGCCTTTGCTTATCCCGGTTTCTGTAGCGTGAAACCGAACTAGGAGTATTTCTATTTCTCGAGGATTGGATTCCTAGTCCAGTCCATCAGAGGGTTCCCATGCACCATATACAGCATTAAATTCGCCGGTACCCATTTACACACCTGGGTGGAGAGAGGCACTGTGAGAGTTAAGACTCTTGTCCAAGAACACAACGCTATGTTCCCGGGCAGGGCTCGAACCCGGATTGCTCGATGCGGAGTGCAGCGCACTAACCATCAGGCTACCGTGCCTTTGATATCCTATGATTCAGATATGGTTTAAATTGGCTCTGGAAATTCCAATAACTAAAACTTCAGCAAAATCTTCAAGTTAGAGTGTAATCTCATCAATAATCATCTCAAAGACATATCATTGAGGTCTCTTGGTTGAGCTGATCATGCAAGAGCTTTTTTGATGGTTGCAACAAATTAGCAATTCTCCTTTCTTCTAGATCTTCTCTCAGTGATTAATAAAAGAAATAATAAACATTCTGTTAATCTTACATCTTACCACAACTCGTATTCCCACGAACATAGCACATGTTTCTGTTACTCGCGGAAAGTGTTCTCTATTATTCATTTCACGGAAGCTAATGTTATAAATAATGTAAGACATCATGAGTACCATAGCTATAAAAAGGTATTTTCTAGGTACTTGTCACAAAGGGCAAGTCCATCTTTTACCGAAGCCTTAAAATGAGTGCTGTTCTTAAAGGTGTTGCCTAGTATTTTATCTTTACTGGCGGTGTCAGTTTGAGCACTCTTCCGTTTGTTTGCACAATTGTTCTTTTTTCGGAATATTGGATGAACCTAAGTCCGGAGATTCATGATTTATCTTTAACCTTCATCTCAGTGCGTTTTAGTGAATAGTTGATGCCTCGAAAAGCACCCCAGTTGACTCCAACGCCGTGAGGAGAATGTGGTCCGTTCAGGTATAAACCGTTAAGATTTGAATGGAGGCAACTTTTGTACCACCAGGCTCCTTTGTAAGTTTGTGCACAGCTGGCAGCCGATCGGTCGTCATTATCGTTATCATTTGTAGAAAACTGCATGCCACTAAAAGAAAATTACAGATTCACAATGTAAAAGTTGTGTCACGTTTAACAACACCAGCCAATTCATAAAAGCCAGTTCATGAGTCTGACATGCTGATTGCAAGCAAAAAAGATAACAAGAACAACAATCGCAAGCTGGGCTGAATTTAAAAAAGGTAGACGAAGGTGCTGTTTGTTATTATTGAAAACACAAACGATAATAACAATGATATACCAATCGTTATACTTCAAGTCAATAAACCCTTACTTTGATGATAAAACTAGTTTCCACAGACATTTCTAACCCACCATATGTTAGAGGTCAAGTCGTCAAAAGAATCACGTGTTGTCTTTTTGACTTTGCTGCTCTCTTCAGCGAGTCAACCGCCATGTCAATCCTTACGTCACTGAGGTACTTCGGTGCCAGTCCCGCACACAAGCTGCCTTTTTATGTTATTCCAACCAATCACCAGTCGTGTTCCAATACTGCTGGGTTAAAAATGCAATACGTAAAATACCTAATGGCTTTTTTACCTTTGGTATGTTATTGAGTCACCAGCCGTGCCATTGTATCCTCCAATAAAAAGTCGGTACTTATCTTCCTCGTCTGCCACCTTAAAAGTCGTGTACTCAGCGTACCTGATGTTTCCATCAAAGTCTTCTAGGTAAACGCGCATGGTGACATCACTAACGGCTGTCAAACGGTGAAGATTGTCATTTCCGAGCCAGAACTCGTGGTTCAGATCTCCAAATCCATTTTTGTAGGATTCCCAACCACGATAGAACTCAACAGAGCCGTCCACACGTTTCTGAAATACTGTCCATCCTCCACCTTCCGTGGTCATATCACAAAACACTCTTATTGGTTTGCCACCATCTGGATTGGTTGTGTAGACGCCACTGGATGTGAAGCCACCTTCAAGGAGTTGGGCGCAGCTCTTTGCCTCTTTGAATTGTTAAAAGGGAAGAGAAGACTTTATATATCACTTTATTCAAGATATTAATAGTCTTCAATAAGAACTGTCAAACAATTTATGATTGATAGTACTGAATTCTTAGGTTCTAATCATCAAGCCAGGGCTGTTACAACAACTATGTTACCTATCATTGTCCTGTTTTCGATAGATTCTTTGTGACATGCTTAGAAAGTCATGCGTAGATTACGTCTCTCGATCGAGTTGTGCTTTGATGGTCGCGAAAGTTTTAACAGCAGTGGAAAAAGTGGAGAAAGATCAGGATGCACATTTAAAAGCATGACTGACGAGCTAAGTATTATAATTCCTTACAAAAGTTGTAAGAAGACTCTTAAACGTAATTAAAAGTGATATGAGATGCTGTCATTCCCTATTGTTGAACTCGAAAAAACAATTGTCGAACGTTATTCAGATTTGTTTGGCAATTTCAGTTCTTCTTCACCAATCCCTGTTTTAAATTGGCATTTTCAATTTTTAGTATCAACATATATCTATCGATAGGCATATAATGTGTTACTACAATTAATCCTTTGGAAAAATTTAAATGGTAGTATTTGTTACCGTGTAAATGTGAGTGCAGATAATTATCTAGACAACGAGTGGCATCTCAGTTAAATAATCTCTCCCCGATCCTTCAAGCGAATGCGTGCTTATTAATTAGTGTTGCGTTTAACATGTATGTGTTCTTTTTTGTTGTGCTTTCCTGCCTTAATTGTGTTTAAAAGAATTTAGTGTTAAGTGTTAAGTTTATCTTAAGTTCTGTTATGTTTGCCATAGTAATAAAATTGTGTATTGTTTGTATTCTGTCTTTGGGATACATACCACAAGGTTGTCCAACATAACCATCTTGACATTTGCAATTGGCACCGCTGTCTTGATAGTTGGGGATGCAGACTTCTTTTTCTCCACAAGGAGAACTTTCGACCTCACAGATGCTCTAAAAATAATTAACGGTCACTCTGCTATCAATCTAAAGTTGAGTTTGCGTGTGCCATTTGACAAGAAAAAGAAATAAATTTCGCGAGATGATTGTGCGTTATCATTTATTATTTGCAAAATTGCTGAAAGATATTGAGAGCAAATATTTTTTAAAAAAATCCAGAAACTATAAGAAAATATGAAAAAAGCAAGTGAAATATATGTAGGTTAAAAAGGTCAAAATAACCACTTTTACTCGGCAATATCCCAAATCAGTCTACATATCATGTTACCTTTACTCCTCGGTAGAGAAATTCACGGTCTTCTGTGAAATTCTTCAAGCCAACAAATCGATCAGAGTTACTCAGCTGACAGCTGAATCTTTTTTTATTTTCGTTAGGTCCAAAGTTATACGACAGACAGCCATTCTCTTTCACACATAGCAGCTGGCAAGAAACCTCCGAATCTACTTCCATTTCTCGAATGACGCTTCCATTGAGTTTTCTATTTCGTATTTCTTTAGCAAAGTTAACGGCCTGGAGGTCGGGCGTTAATATTCTTGTTACTGCGTTTGTAGAAGTAATCATCACAGAAGCTAAAAACCACTGTAGATACATGATTATCCTGTCCTTTGATCTTGCTTTGATAGTGAATTATTGAAGCCTTTGGTCTCTAGTGGTACACAACTAGTCTGTGTCTAGCATCAATTATTAATTACAGTTATTAACTGAGGCGTTCTGATAAAAAAAGATGCAGTAATATGAATCAGATGCTATGACAACTTCACTTTAAGCTTCTGTGCTTTGTGTGCAGATTATTAACTTTTAAACAAACTCTTTGAATCGCAATCAGTGGGGGATCGAAACTTGCACATAAGTCTTTCACGAAATCTTAAATTTCACATATCTGTACTCGAAATAAAAACATTAAACCTTTTCACTTGACCTTGTCCAGTTTCCTTGGAAAAAGAAAACAAAAAGGAATGATATCGACATATAACTCGACATATTATTGTTAAAAATTCCAACTGATGTTAACCCACCGGTTGGACATTGTGTGGATCCCACAGGGGAAGCGCAAAACAGGGGGACCCCAGCACACCTGGAGGCGTACAAGAACTGCAGAGTTGGAGGAGAGATGGCTCACGTGGCGGGAGTGAAAGTTACTGCGCAAATTATGGCCAGGTAGCAGGCACTAGTGAACGACCTATGTTCCATCAGGAACGAAAAGGATTGAGTGAGTTACTGGCTGTGTCAAATTAAGCGCCTTTTGGCCATATGTTCGTGTTAAGCAATTGCTATCTTGTCAGAGCTGATTTACTCCGCCTAAGTCCAGGTATTTTTTGTTTACTTTTAAATTTTATCTGTGGGTGTTTTAGTGAAGAGCGATAACCTTGAGATAATGCCAGTTTATTCTGTGTGATTGGTTCAGGTACAGGCCGTTAAATATGAATGTTCTACCAGCCTCCTTTGTATGTTTGTGTGCAATCCTTGTCGAGTCTTAATCGGCGAATAGAGCCCTCCAGGGTGTCTTACGCACAAATTTCGGGGCTGCTAGTCGGAACTTTTGAATTAAAAACCTGAAGAAGGAGACCAATATGATCGTGGCTTGTGCTTTATTTGACCTCTAAACTGAATCAAACGGAAATGAAAGCGCTTTTTTAACCATTTCATCAAGATCAACCCAGAAAGGCAATTAGACGGCTTAAAATAGCGGCGTTTCGTCATGAACACCCTAAACAAGACCAAAGTCACTAATTTACACCCCTGTAGAGACGAAGAACATCCCGGACATTTTCAAGTATCACTGGAAGTTTATTCTTTAGGATCACGTTGCTGCGCAGTTTTTATGTCATAATCCAGCTAAATAGCTCTTTATCTAAAATAACGTCTGGCCCAGATACCACACGAGAAAGCTAACGCGTATCTGTACCAATTGCAAACGTGGGATTTTGTGTAGATCGCAGGGGCGCAGATCGAGGAAGTGAACAAATTCATGTACCCCGGGAACATTGTAGGTAAGAAGGAAGGTAGTAATGAGCGTATCCAGGCACGCCTTGGAAAGGAGAGGCAGGCATTCGGGATTTTGAGACCAATGTGGAGGTTTACTAACAATCAAGACCAGTTTGAGAGTCTTTGGATGAAATGTGAAGGCCTTGCTCAGGTATGGTTCTGAAACTTTCGGGCTTATCAAGGGGTTGAAGCAGAGGTAGCCCGTGTTCATCAACAAGAGCCTGGGAGATATCCTGTGAATTTCTTGGCCTGGACGAATACGTAATGCTGAGCTTTGCAGAAGCAGGGTAACGACTGATAGAGCAGGCGATAAGACAAAGAGCTCGGGATTCGATTGTCCACACGCTTAGAACACCAGACAGATATATAGCCTAGAGGTTCATAAAGGGAACCCACAGGAGAAGCGCAAGAAAAGGAGACCCCTGCGCAATTACAGGCGCACGAGAATGGCAGAGTTGCGGCTTCGTGGCGCAAGGTGAAACGTACTGCGCAAAATTGGAACGAGGAGAATTGATTGAGTTACTGGCTGCGTCACCTTAAACTCCTCTGTGGCCACATGTTGGCGTTGATTAACTGTCGAAAGATTTTGACTTCACTTTCAAATTTATCTGTTGGTGTCTTAGTGAAGAGCGATAAGCTTATGATTTTGCCAGTTTACCCTATCGCGATAAGCAGAATGTGATTGGTTCAGGAACAGTCCGTTAAAGATGAATTTACCACAAACTTCTTTAACTCAGTTCCTTTGTGCGCAATCCTTGAAGGGTCTTAATCGGCGAATATAGCCCTTCAGTGGACTTCCGTGTAAAAATTTTGAAGCTGTTGGTCGGAAAATTTGAGTAAAACCCGTGTAAAAGGAGAACAATCTGAGAGTGGCTCACGCTTTATTAACTGGATTAAACGGAAATGACAGCGCCTTTTTATCATTTCTCGGAAAGCAACGGCTAGAGACAATCTGAATGGCGTTTCACCCTAAACGAGACCGATACCCCTAATTTCAACCCCTATAGAGACTACGAGCATCCCGGACCTTTTCACGTGAGGGTGCTCCCTTTCCCTCACCCTGGGGAAAATAGCCAAGTATCACTGGAATTTATTTCTTTAGGATCATGTTGCGCCGCAGTTTTTATGTCATAATCGAGCTAAATAGCTCTTTATCTAAAATAAGGTCTGGCCCAGCTAGCATATGTGAAAAATACCGCAACCCAACAGGACTATACTTACCGGACATTTTAATCAATTAAGTTCAATAATTACTGCTTTTGTTCTCCTCCGAGGAAGAATTGACACAAAATGGTGGATTATGCCCCAAGACGTTGCACATAAGGCTACAGAATACTCTAGGTGTGTTTGAGATCAAGTGCTAATTAATAACACAATTAAAACGACGCTCCATACTGGATGAATCCAGAATCCTTGTATGATCAGCTCAACACAGTCTTTCTTCTGTTAAATACCTAATTTATGAGCTCGAGATGTCTTCGAGGTTACTCTTGATGAGGATAACCTCTAATTTAAAGATTTTGCTGAATTTGTAGTTCTTGAGTGCAATTTTCAGAGTCGATTTTTGTAAAACGTGAGCGAGAGCAGATATTACCATAGCTCTGAAATGTATCTTCTACATGTAGATACTACTTGTCACAAAGAGTAAGTCCATCTTTTACTGAAGCCTAAAAAGAGTTCTGTTCTTAAAGGTGTTGTCGCGTATTTTATATTTACTGGCGGTGTCAATTTATCGCATTAGCGGCTGTTTGATCAGTTGTTCTCTTGTCTCTTGTCGGAATGTTGGATAATCCTAGGCCAAGATTTGCGATTTGTCTTTAACTTTCATTTCAGTGCGTTTTAGTGAATAATTGTGGCCTCTAAACGTACGCCAGTTGATTCCATTGGCATGAGAAGAATGTGGTCCACCCAGGTACAAACCGTTAAGATTTGAATGGTGGCAACTTTTGTACCACCAGGCTCCTTTGTAAGTTTGTGCACAGCTGTGAGCCGATCGGTCGTTATTGTCGTTGTCATTCGTAGAAAACTGCATGAAACTAAAAGAAAATTACAGATTGCAAACGTAAAAAGTATTACATGTGTAACAACACACCAACCAGGTCATGAAGACACAACATAGATAGTCTGACATACCGATTGCAAGGAGAATAAACACGACACAACTGCGAGCTAAGCTTAATTTAAAAAAGCTTGACAAAGGTGCTGTTAATTATCATTGAAAACGCAAACGACAATAACTACAATGCACCAATCAGTGCAGTGAATGAGCCTTAATCCAACGATAAAACTAAATTCATATGTTAGAGGTCAAGTGTTCAGAAGGATCCCATGCTGTTTTTCTGACTTTGTTGCCCTCGTCAACGAGTCACCTGCCCTGTCTATCCTTACGTCATTGAGTTACTTAAGTGCCAGTCCTACACTCAAATACACGCAAGCTGTAGTTTTAACCAGTTTATGTAACACCAACCTATTACCAGCCCTGTTCCAACACTACTGTTTTAAAAATGCAAGACGTAAAATACCTAAATGCTTTCTTACTTATGAAATGCCATCGAGTCACCAGCAGTGCCACTGTATCCTCCAATCAAAAGCTGGTACTTATCTGCCTCGTCTGCCACCTTAAAAGTCGTGTATTCAGCGTATCTGATGTTTCCTTCAAAGTCTTCCAAGTCAGCTCGCATGGTGACATCAACAATGGCAGTCAAACGGTGAAGATTGTCATTTCCAAGCCAGAACTCGCCGTTCAGATCTCCAAACCCGTTTTTGTAGGATTCCCAACCAAGATAGAAGTCAACAGAACCGTCCAAACGCCTCTGAAAAACTGTCCAACCTCCACC